GTACCTATATGACATTTTTTTTTTTTTTTAAATTTCACACGGATAGAGCTTTCTTTTTGTGGCGTTTAATCACTACTGTTTTTTAATTTTTTACTATATAAAATGATAAAAAGAAGGAAAATTTTGAAAAAAAAAAAGTTTTTTTTTAGTGTTATAAAATTTTGCAAACAGGTCATTTTTTTTTCTTTCACTGAAGTGCGTTGATGACGCTGCACTGATAGGCAGCAGTGATGGGCACTGATGAGGTGACACTGATGATGCGTTACTGATGGACACTGATAGGCAGCACTGACTGATGGCACTGACTGGTGGCACTGATAGGCAGCACTGACTGGCATTGATAGGTGACACTGACTGGCACTGATATGTGACACTGAAAGGCAGCTCAGATGGGCACTGATATGTGGCATTGATGTGCACTGGTAGGCACTGATATGTGGCATTGATGAGGCACTGATGGGCACTGGCAGGTGGCATTGATGAGCACTGACAGCTGGCCCTAATGGACACTGACAGGTGGCACTGCTGGGGCTACACAGATCATCAGGGCACACTGATCATCAGTGCCCTGATGATCAGTGCACATGTCCCCTCTGAGGTGACACTGATGATGTGTTACTGATGGACACTGATAGACGACAATGATGGACACTGATAGGCACTAATGGGCACTAAACAGGCAGCACTGACTGATGGCACTGATAGGCAGCACTGAATGATGGCTCTGACGGTCTCAGATTGGCAGCTCTGTTGGGCACTGATGGGCAGCACTGTTGGGCACTGATGGGCGGCACTGATGGGCACTTTTGGGACTGCACTGATAATCAGTGCCCTGATTACCAGTGCAGATATCTCCTTTGACAGTTGCCGGCTATCGGAAGTACTTTCCTCATGCTGTGACAGTGTCAGGAGAGTACTGCCCATAACCGGCAACTGTATTTACATGGTGATCAGCTACGATTGGACACAGCTGATCATGTGTGGTAAAAGACCACTGTGATTGGCCTGTCATGTCAGCTAAAGGACACAGTGATCACACAGAGCACCTGGTTGCACGCCGTTGGGGGCATGCGGAGTACGCGCTCTGGGAGGATGTCACATCATTCCCTCCCAGAACTGGATGACTGGTCAGAAAGTGGTTAAAGTGTTACTAAACCCACAACAGTACAATCAGTCTGTAGATGCAGTAAAGCGTGCTTGTTATACTCACTGTGGAACCTAAGGGGTTAATCCTCTGCATTGTGTAAATAAGCGGTTTGGTCCTGTCTTCTCTGATCCTCCCCTTCTTCTACTGTCCCCAATCCATCTGCTGATAGTTCAGAACCTTGGGGGTAAGCTGCACATGCTCAGTTTGGTGTGTATTGCTAGAGAGTTTTTTTGCTTTTTCCTTGGGAGAGTGCATGTGATCAGCAAAGGGCCAATCAGCACTGTTCAGACAGAGGGTCGGGGGTTATGCAGCCTCATAGGACAATCAGGGGAGAATGAAAACTCCTCCTATAAGCTTTAATCAGTGCTCTGCTGAACACTGATATAAAGAAGTCACAAGACTTCTATATACTGCTGATGAGAAAATGTATTTAGCAGTTTATATTTACTAAAATAATTGCATTTCCATCTTCTGTGTACTGTGGGAGACCAGATATAGTGAATGCAGGGTCCAGGGAGAGCGGATATAGTGAATGAGGGGTCCGGGGAGAGCGGATATAGTGAATGCGGGGTCCGGGGGAGAGCGGATAGTGAATGCGGGGTCCGGGGAGAGCGGATATAGTGAATGCGGGGTCCGGGGAGAGCGGATATAGTGAATGCGGGGTCCGGGGAGAGCGGATATAGTGAATGCGGGGTCCGGGGAGAGCGGATATAGTGAATGCGGGGTCCGGGGAGAGCGGATATAGTGAATGCGGGGTCCGGGGAGAGCGGATATAGTGAATGAGGGGTCCGGGGGGAGCGGATATAGTGAATGAGGGGTCCGGGGGGAGCGGATATAGTGAATGCGGGGTCCGGGGAGTGCGGATATAGTGAATGCGGGGTCCGGGGAGAGCGGATATAGTGAATGCGGGGTCCGGGGAGAGCGGATATAGTGAATGAGGGGTCCGGGGAGAGCGGATATAGTGAATGCGGGGTCCGGGGAGAGCGGATATAGTGAATGAGGGTCCGGGAGAGCGGATATAGTGAATGCGGGGGTCCGGGGACAAGCGGATATAAGGAATGCAGGGTCCGGGGAGAGGTGATATAGTGAATGCGGGGTCAGGGGGAGAGCGGATATATAGTGAATGAGGGGTCCGGGAAGAGCGGATATAGTGAATGAGGGGTCCCGGGGGAGCGGATATAGTGAATGCGGGGTCCAGGGAGAGCGGATATAGTGAATGCGGGGTCCGGGGAAGAGCGGATATAGTGAATGCGGGGTCCGGGGGAGAGCCGATATAGTGAATGAGGGGTCGGGGGGAGCGGGATATAGTGAATGCGGGGTCCGGGGAGAGAGCGGATATAGTGAATGCAGGGTCCGGGGAGAGCGGATATAGTGAATGCAGGGTCCGGGGAGACCGGATATAGTGAATGCAGGGTCCTAGGGAGCCCGGATATAGTGAATGCAGGGTCCGGGGAGACCGGATATAGTGAATGCAGGGTCCGGGGTTTAGGAACACATTAAATTGAATCTTTCAGTAACTTTACAAGTTACACAAATACATTTCGGATCTGTCACTATATACAACACTATACAGTATTTATATAATTATCAAAAAAAGTTACCATTTGTCATTAAAAATCCACACTTGAGCTCCATCTGCAGTGCATTTCTGTGATTTGCGATAAATTGCGATAAAGTGCAGGTCATGATGCCTGTTGTGATGTGAATGCCCCCCTCAGGGTTTTGCACCTTTAGGAATGCTTTTGATTGTCCAGCATGTGTAAAGCTTGCAAAGTGTCATCCAGGAAATGCATTAAATGAGGCCAAATTCAGGGCTTTAATTAGCAATAAGGTGCAGTAAGTTGTTTAGCTAGATGCACATGGGGAATGAAAATTCATATTTAGTCAGCAGAGTGAGCAAAGATGGAAAAAATCATAAAATATTTTGGCAGTGGAGGAGTTAATAAAAGGATTCTAACTCTGATTTGAGTGTTGAGAAATTTGAGACAATGTAATTCTGTGTTGCAATGTACCTTCTATATCCGCCATCTTCACCTAGGGTTCTGTAGAATTCTTGGGTCCCGCAGGAGGCTGTTAGGGGTTCTCTGATCTCTGACTGATTGACCTCCCAGATGATGGTGCCTGCATGATCTCCGGTCCAATGCAACTTTGCCAGCACCAGGACATCTGTATCACAAGTGTAATAAAAGCGCCACACCCTTAATACTTTAAAGCAGCAATTCCACCTCAAAGAAACCAAATAAATTTCTTAGTGCTATAACTTAAATCAAGGAATGCGCTAAAACCACAAACTATTCCTAATTTAGTGTAGAAACATTAGTGCAAAAGATATATATATCTATTATCAATTAATATCAAAAAATATCAAAATTATGTGCAAAACATAAGTAATTTAAATAATTAAATTTGTGAATATAAAAAAAAAAAAAAACCAAAATGTCCAATTCTGAATTTCTTCAAATGTCCAAACAAATCCTTTTCAAATTCAGGTGCTCTCAAAGAAATTGTGCCAAAATCCACCACCAAAAGTAAAGTTGGGTAACTCACCAGAGCTCCATGCTGATCAATCTCTAGATCAGCAAAAAAACGCTTTTTGCTCTGGGAGCAGATGCAATGAATCAACTTCTCAGGTGTGATGATCAATAGCTACACATTCATTCCATCCAAGATAGGTATCCACCACTCAATATAATGGTTCCAGGAGCATTATATCACTCTCTCTTTTTTATATCTCTCCACCGAGGTCATGTTTGGGAATGAAAGAGAAAAATCATGGTGCAGCCAGTTTTTTTATTAAAAGTGTCCAACAATTTAATAAAGATTTACACTCACAAAAAAGGGTGTCTTCACCGACACCAGTATAACAGCATAAAACAGCAAATGGTATAACAGTCTCCTGTTCCCCGTACACTCACTACAGCGCTCGTGACTTAATTTTCTCCACAAACGTCAGCATCCAGTAAGCCCTACTAGTTTCGTCATGAATGACGTCTTCAAGAGACCGCCCCTTGAAGACGTCATTCATGACGAAACTAGTAGGGCTTACTGGATGCTGACGTTTGTGGAGTAAGGAAAATTTAACACGAGCGCTGCTAGTGAGTGTACGGTACGGGGAACAGGAGATCTGTTATACCATTTGCTGTTTTATGCGGTTATACTGGTGTCGGTGAAGACACCCTTTTTGTGAGTGTAAATCTTTATTAAATTGTTTGGACACTTTTATAAAAAAACTGGCTGCACCATGATTTTCTCTTTCATTCCCAAACATGACCTCGGTGGAGAGATATAAAAAGAGAGAGTGATATAATGCTCCTGGAACCATTATATTGAGTGGTGGATACCTACCTTATGGGGATGAATGTGTAGCTATTGATCATCACACCTGAGAAGTTGATTTCATTGCATCTGCTCCCAGAGCAAAAAGCGTTTTTTGCTGATCTAGAGATTGATCAGCATGGAGCTCTGGTGAGTTACCCAACTTTACTTTTGGTGGTGGATTTTGGCACAATTTCTTTGAGAGCACCTGAATTTGAAAAGGATTTGTTTGGACATTTGAAGAAATTCAGAATTGGACATTTTTGTTTTTTGTTTTTTTTTTTATATTCACAAATTTAATTATTTAAATTACTTATGTTTTGCACATAATTTTGATATTTTTTGATATTAATTGATAATAGATATATATATCTTTTGCACTAATGTTTTCTACACTAAATTAGGAATAGTTTGTGGTTTTAGCGCATTCCTTGATTTAAGTACCAGGACATCTGTGTTCTTTTTTTTTTTTTTTTTTGCTGTCTGTAAGGGTGGTGTTCTGACCACCATGTCAGTGGGCCATTTTTCCTGCTGACTACCAATGTAAGGAACATTCTTCCCACTGACCACCAATGTAAGGAGCATTCTTCCCACTGACCACCAATGTAAGGGAGCATTCTTCCCACTGACCACCAATGTAAGGGCATTCTTCCCACTGACCACCAATGTAAGGGACATTCTTCCCACTGACTACCAATGTAAGGGACATTCTTCCCACTGACCTCCAATGTAAGGAGCATTCTTCCCACTGATCACCAATGTAAGGAACACTCTTCCCACTGACCACCAATGTAAGGGGCATTCTTCCCACACTGACCTCCAATGTAAGGGACATTCTTCCCACTGATCATCAATGTAAGGAGCATTCTTCCCACTGACCACCAATGTAAGGAATATTCTTCCCACTGACTACCAATGTAAGGGACATTCTTCCCACTGACCCCCCAATGTAAGGGACATTCTTCCCACTGACCCCCAATGTAAGGGACATTCTTTCCACTGACCTCCAATGTAAGGAGCATTCTTCCCACTGACCACCAATGTAAGGGACATTCTTCCCACTGACCACCAATGTAAGGGACATTCTTCCCACTGACCACCAATGTAAGGGACATTCTTCCCACTGACCTCCAATGTAAGGGACATTCTTCCCACTGACCTCCAATGTAAAGGGGCATTCTTCCCACTGACCACCAATGTAAGGGACATTCTCCCACTGACTACCAATGTAAGGGACATTCTTCCCACTGACCTCCAATGTAAGGAGCATTCTTCCCACTGATCACCAATGTAAGGAACACTCTTCCCACTGACCACCAATGTAAGGAACACTCTTCCCACTGACCACCAATGTAAGGGGCATTCTTCCCACTGACCTCCAATGTAAGGGACATTCTTCCCACTGATCATCAATGTAAGGAGCATTCTTCCCACTGACCACCAATGTAAGGAATATTCTTCCCACTGACTACCAATGTAAGGGACATTCTTCCCACTGACCCCCAATGTAAGGGACATTCTTCCCACTGACCCCCAATGTAAGGGACATTCTTTCCACTGACCTCCAATGTAAGGAGCATTCTTCCCACTGACCACCAATGTAAGGGACATTCTTCCCACTGACCACCAATGTAAGGGACATTCTTCCCACTGACCACCAATGTAAGGGACATTCTTCCCACTGACCTCCAATGTAAGGGACATTCTTCCCACTGACCACCAATGTAAGGACATTCTTCCCACTGATCACCAATGTAAGGACATTCTTCCCACCGACCACCAATGTAAGGGACATTCCTCCCACTGACCACCAATGTAAGGGACATTCTTTCCACCGACCACCAATGTAAGGGACATTCTTCCCACCGATCACCAATGTAAGGGATATTCTTCCCACTGATCACCAATGTAAGGGACATTCTTCCCACTGACCACCAATGTAAGGGACATTCTTTCCACTGACCTCCAATGTAAGGAGCATTCTTCCCACTGACCTCCAATGTAAGGGACATTCTTCCCACTGACCTCCAATGTAAGGGACATTCTTCCCACTGATCACCAATGTAAGGACATTGTTCCCACCGATCACCAATGTAAGGACATTCTTCCCACCGACCACCAATGTAAGGGACATTCCTCCCACTGACCACCAATGTAAGGGACATTCTTCCCACCGACCACCAATGTAAGGGACATTCTTTCCACTGACCTCCAATGTAAGGAGCATTCTTCCCACTGACCTCCAATGTAAGGGACATTCTTCCCACTGACCTCCAATGTAAGGGACATTCTTCCCACTGATCACCAATGTAAGGACATTGTTCCCACCGATCACCAATGTAAGGACATTCTTCCCACCGACCACCAATGTAAGGGGCATTCTTCCCACCGACCACCAATGTAAGGGACATTCTTCCCACCGACCACCAATGTAAGGGACATTCTTCCCACCGATCACCAATGTAAGGGACATTCTTCCCACCGACCACCAATGTAAGGGGCATTCTTCCCACCGACAACCAATGTAAGGGGCATTCTTCCCACTGACCACAAATATCAGGACATTCTTCCCATTGAACCCCAATGTGTTATTTTGTTAGGCCCTGCTCCAGCTAAATCTTTCGGCTTTGTACAGAGCAGGGAAGGGTTCGAACTTCTGTAGAGTTTTTGCCCTAACTTGCTGTAAGCACAATGTTACAACAGGAGCACCAAGCCAAAAGACCCAAAATATGTCAATGGTTCTTTGGCGACTTTACAGAAAACAGTCAACGCGTTTCTGGGGTCAAACACTCCCCCTTCATCAGGGCTTCAAGAGTTAAATCAGCTTACAAGGACTCAGCATACTCTGAGTGGTCTGTATTCAGAAGTATAGTAAAGTGGTTTCTTTGCCCCTTACCCCCAAACACTAACCTGTGGTCACTTGTCATCCCCACCAATCTGCACCACATCCCTGATCTTTTAGGTCCAGGATGGGGGTACAGGGGGGCAGTGGAGCCATAGGCTCCTGCTGCCATCAGTCAGCCTCCTGGGAGGAGGGAGGCTAGCCCCTGAATGGACAGGGCCAATGCTAAGTGGTACTGGCATTTAGCCCCATCCAGCCACTGGCTGTGTCAGGGCTCCAGGTATGACCAGAGATGTGTGGACTGACACAGGGAAACGCAGGCTTCAGGAGTGATATAATAAGAATATAATTTATTCAAAACTACCCGAGTATACAATGCACAGTACAAACAAATCCCAAACCTCCAACTAATGACAGTATGTGCAGGAACACAGACAGGCGTAGTCAGGGCTGGAGAGGAAGAGTGGTCAGGCAGGCCAGGTCAGGAGCAATCGGGCAGACAAGGTACCAAAGGAGCAGGCAGAAGAGTGGTCAGGGATAGCCAGGGTCAGTGCAGGCAGAGTTCAATCAATGTCAGGAGTCAGGCAGAGGGATCAGGAAGGCAGACAACAGGATCAGGTTCAGGTACAGGGGCTCATGGGCACAATACACCAAGGCCCTGACTGCAGGCCTGGCCATTCCTTAAATACACCTCCTGCAATCAGCCTCAGGTGATGGCTTGATTGCAGGAGTGAGCCTCTGGCTGCTGAGAGCACCCGCTGGCTAGCCCTGGTACTGCAGCCCACAAGGCAGGTGAGTCCCACCACCATTGGCAAGCCCATTCCTGACAGCCTGCCATAGACTTTGATAGGTTGCCTGCAGCAGGGCTGGACTCCGCTCCGATAGGGATGCACTGCAGCTGAATGGTGTCGTGTTCAAGGGGCCTTAACCTCCCTGGCGGTATGATCATGTCAGGAATTTTGTGCTGAAAGCGCGGTACCATTTTTTTGCATGGAAATATGTAGTTTTTAATTGTAGGCTGTAATTTTTAGGAATAACTCACTGAAATCTATCCGAAAAAGAGTCTATTAAACATTCCGGATATGATAAAACTTGAAACACGAAATCATAAATTATAATTTAATAAATAATCATAAAAAAATAATAATATAATAATAAATTTAATTCAATAATATAATCAAACCAAAAACACTGAAATTTGAAATACAGAGGCAAAATTCGCACATCGCTGAGCAAAGTCGCAAAATCGTTTTCAGTGTCTGATGACGAATTTCCCCCACAAATCATTATCACTCAATTCTGCAAGTGGTTCTGATTTACTATCGCTGTTCTAAAACCGCTTTTGATGTAAAGGGACGCTTTTTGGCCGCCATGGACTTTTCTAAGTTTCCAGGCAGAAAGAACAGTCAAAATGCAGGCAGGGCGCTGGACAAAGCACTGGGGACAAAATGTATGTGAAATGCAGTGAAAAAGCAATGACAGCAAAAATGTCATTTTTTAAAAATTTCAAATTTCCCGCCGGTTCCGCCGCCCGAACGTTCCGACGTCACGGGGACTGGAACACGGAAGTCAGATGCCGGCATCCGCCGGAGGAGATGGACAGGGATGCTGCAGGGGACACATCGTGGGAGCGAAGGACAAGGTAAGTGCTGCAGGGACCCCCAGAGAACGCTGCATGGTAAGCCCGAGTGTAGCTCGGGGTTACCGTTCTTGGTATAGAAATTCTACCCCGAGCTACACTCGGGAACACCGCCAAGGAGGTTAAAGGAAAAAAAAGAGTTAAGGGTTTATTATCACTGTAAGACGGTGGTCTCCAAACTGTGGCCTGTGGGCCGAATACGGAACTTTGCTTGCTTATATCTGGCCCACGGGGTACTATTCCTTCCACTGATACCAACAAGGAGGCACCATTTCTTCCACTGGCATCAACTATGGGGCATTTTTCCTTCCACTGACACCAATGATGGGGCACAATTCCTCCCACTGATATAAACAATTAGATACTGTTCCTCCAACTAATACCAATGATGGAGCACTATTCCTTCACCTGACATCAATGATGGAGCACTGTTGGTGTCAGTGGGAGGAATAGTGCCCCATCATTGGTATTAGTGGGAGGACACCCTTGACACCAATGATGAAGCACTATGATGGTGCACTATTCCTTCCCCTGACACCAATGATGGAGCACTATTCCTCCCCCTGACACCAATGATGGGGCACTATTCCTTCCCCTGACACCAATGATGGAGCACTATTCCTCCCCCTGACACCAATGATGGAGCACTATTCCTTCCCCTGACACCAATGATGGAGCACTATTCCTTCCCCTGACACCAATGATGGAGCACTATTCCTCCCCCTGACACCAATGATGGGCTACTACTCCTCCCACTGATACCAATGATGGGGCACTATTCCTCTCCCTGACACCAATGATGGGGCACTATTCCTCCCACTGATACCAATGAAGGGCACTATTCCTCCTACTGACACCAATGATGGGGCACTATTCCTCCCACTGATACCAATGAAGGGCACTATTCCTCCCACTGACACCAATGATGTGGCACTATTCCTCCCACTGATACCAATGATGGGGCACTATTCCTCCCACTGATACCAATGATGTGGCACTATTCCTCCCACTGATACCAATGATGGGACACTATTCCTCCCACTGACACCAATGATGGGGCACTATTCCTCCCACTGATACCAATGATGTGGCACTATTCCTTCCCCTGATACCAATGATGGGGCACTATTCCTCCTACTGACACCAACGATGTGGCACTATTCCTCCCCCACTGATACCAATGATGGGGCACTATTCCTCCCACTGATACCAATGATGGGACACTATTCCTCCCACTGATACCAATGATGGGGCACTATTCCTCCCACTGACACCAATGATGGGGCACTATTCCTCCCCCTGACACCAATGACGGGGCACTATTCCTCCTACTGATACCAATGATGGGGCACTATTCCTTCCCCTGACACCAATGATGGGGCACTATTCCTTCCCCTGACACCAATGATGGGGCACTATTCCTTCCCCTGACACCAATGATGGGGAACTATTCCTCCCACTAATACCAATGATGGGGCACTATTCCTCTTCCACTGACTACAAGCACTATGTCATTTTTTTTACTCCTACTGATGCTGGGACATTTTCTACTCCCACTGACCACTCTGGTCCTCCTAAAGTCTGAAGGACAGTAAACCGGCCCTTTGTTTAGAAGGTTTGGAGACCCCTGCTGTAAGAAATCAAAATGACCTGTCAGAGGTCATGTCAAAGCTAGCAACAGCCACAATATGGCCAATAGATGGCGCTGATGATCATAGGAAATAAAAGGATTAGGCAAATTAACCGCTTCCCATCTGCCCTATAGCAGAAATACTGCTATTCGCCGGCCGCGGCTGTCAACCGCCGGGTCCTGGCCGGTAATTACTCGCCGGCACCTGGTGATTTCCGAAGATCTCCGAAGGGGAGGAGGACTGTTTTGTTTACTAACAGTTCTCCTGCCTGTCAGCTCGGGTGCACAGCACAGCACAGCCATCCTCAGCAGTGTGATTACAGTGAAGCACACAGACCCCGCCCCCTAGTAAAACACTCCCAGCACACAGTTAATTCTTTGATCACCCCTCATGTTAACCCCTTCCTGCCCAGTGCCATTAGTACAGCGTCAGTGCTTTTTATTAGCACTGATCACTGATTAGTGTCACTGGGGATGTCAGTGACACCAAGTCAGTCATCCCCCCCCCCCCCCCCCCACCAGTGTCAGAATACCCACCGCAGTCCAGCTATAAGTCGCTGCT